AAGGATAGGGAGGATCATAAGGAAAGAGATAAAGATCGTGAAATGGCCAATGAACATGCAAGGGACAGAGATAAGGATCACGACAGGTACGATAGAAGTAGAGGACGGGAGAAGGATTATGAGAAGCAGGGGGAGAGAGAAAAGGTGAAAGATAAAGATCGTGAGAGGGGGAAGGACAGAGGGAGGGAAAAGGATCGAGACAAGGTGAAGGATAGGGAAAGGGAAAAGGACAAATTAAAAGATCGCGAAAGGGAAGAGAGAGAGAAAGTCAGGGAGGATTCATCGAGAAACCGGAAAACCGATTATGATAAACCCAGAACAAGGAATAAAGATCAGGACGCAGGTGGAAGCAAAGGAGTTGAATTGGATGAAAGAAGAGAAGTTGGTAATGGGGACACTAACGTTGATGGGAAGGCAGAAGAAGCTGAATCTGCAATGGATGATCATGACAAGAAGCCTGTGGGGTCACAATCAAATGCGGAGCTTGAAGAACGCTTGAAAAAGTAGGAACTCCTCATTTTCTCTTTTTATTTGTTCAAAAAATTTACTTTGCCTAATTCACCATGTTAAATTCATATGGATGGTTACTACTTAGTACAGTAATGATTGGTGCATTCTTATTTATGATGACATAATCATCAACTTAATACTAATATTCAATCGCATATCTCATTCTTAGTTTTAATTGTATATATGCCAAAGAAACTTTTTTGGTGCCTGTCTGCTTGAAAATCTGCACGTCCTTACCCTGTAGCTTAAACAATAAAAAGCAACATTCATATGGGTTGGCAGGGTTGCTTGCGTAAGGGTTGCTTGCGAATATGCATCTGTAAGCAATTCTATCCAAGTCTGGAAGTTTGATCCTCAATTTCTTCAATATTTATTATCATCAAATGCATATTGCTTTCAATTGTGATTTTGCAATGTCAAATAGAAATGTGCTGCTTACTTCTAAAGCCTTCATTTTTCCTTAAATAGAAAATACACTTGTATGGATTGTACATTAAATTGAAGCAACAACTAGCCTTTCTCATATCTACTGTAATATTTTTAGGGTATAGGTTGCCAACAAATCTCATATTTCTATGTTAATCACTTACATTGTTATATTTGGATATGAGGCCTTCTTGTTGTTATTTCTCTTTTGCTTGTTATCGCAGTCTCAAAAGTTGCTATGTTGAGAGACAAAACAAGGTTATCAAATTATAGTTTCATCTTCACCTTAGTTAACTATCTACCAACCTGCAGATCTCTTCTCCGTCATCTAGGATACTAAAACTTTATCATTTCACTAATTTTCGATCCAGCCTTGAAGAGAAAGGAACCTAACAACAGGACTCAAAGTATGACAATGAGATAGATGTCTTAAATTTTGATTCTAGATGATTTTGATGTCTGGTGACAAAGAAGATATTGAGTTAGAAATTTGGAATTGAGTGAGCTAGAGGAAAGTATCTAGTGCGTATGTCCTCCTCTATATCAAAACACAAAAAAAAATTAAAAATATACTTAATCAATTACTTAAATTTTGTTGATAAACAACTGTTCATTTAATAATTTCCTTTTATTCTTTGAAGTTTGAATGAGTCTGACCATATGATGTGGCAACTCTCTCTGTATAATCATTTTTTTCTTGGACAGAAGGCTGCATTTATTTTGTCGCAACTCTCTTCATGTGAGAGTTGATGTTTGCCAATTGTCGATTGTGATATAGTCAATTTATTGATTGATCATTTCTTTTTATCCTTTAAGGAATTTTTAATATAAAATACATATATCTACTTCAAATTTTTGCTGAAATCAATGATTAACATAATTTTACTTTGATAATTTTTTCAATTCATGTTGCCATGATTTTTGTGATTTAGAGATCTGCTATTCTGTTTTATGCTACTTCTGTAAGAGTTTTATGTGCTAACCTTGACGAATAACACTTAAAATGCTCTTCTTGTGAAGATATTCTGTGTACTTATTATAGTCTATGATATCACACACTTATACAGAATGAAACAAGAACGACTGAAGAGAAAAGCTGAGGATACTTCAGAGATTTCATCATGGCTTAGTAAAAGCCGGAGGCTCGAGGAAAAGAGGAATGAGGTCAGGGAGAAAGCTGCACGTGTTTCAAAAATTTTGGATGAGCAGGTGATTGATCTGCATCCTATTGTTTGGTTTATTCTTTAGAGCGTATGTACTATGTATTAAGTGGCTTGCCATTAAATATTTTCAGGATAATTTTGGAGAAGAAAGTGATGATGAGGCAGCAATTGGGCACAGCAAAAGTAAGTTCTCTCCTTAATGAACTTTTGCTTCTTCACTTTTTTCCCCTTTACTATCTTCTTTGTTCTGTAGTGTATACAGTCCAGTAATTTTTTTTCTATTTCAATAACACACCCCAAATGAATAGTCCACGTGGGATGTGAACTAGAAGAATTGTTGGTGTAAGAATTTAAAGTAGATAGCACTTTTGAGAAAATAATCGCCTTATACTCCGTAGTTCGCTTGCTTGGGTGGAAGTGGTACTAGGATGAGCGACCTCTAGGAAGTCCTTGCTCGGGGTATGAGACACAAATTTTACATTTTGTTCTAGATTTTTTTTTTGTATATTGTTACTAACCTATGTTTTTACACATAAGCTTTTCTTGGATATAGTTATACAGAAGTTATTGGCCTCATATCTTTCTCTTCTACCATGTGCAGAGGATTTAGCAGGGGTTAAAATTCTTCATGGTCTCGATAAGGTACTTGAGGGTGGAGCGGTTGTCCTCACTCTAAAAGATCAGAGCATCCTTGCTGATGGTGATATTAATGAAGGTGCATATTATGTATCTGATTTTGTAGTTAATGCAGTCGAATTGATTACTTTTTGTAACTGACTAACAAATTGTATTTTGTAGAGATTGATATGCTTGAAAATGTGGAAATTGGAGAGCAAAGGCGAAGAGATGATGCCTACAAGGCTGCTAAGAAAAGGAATTTATATGAGGAAGCGTAAGATCTGTTGTTGTAGTTGGTTTCTTATGAGAGATTTCTGTGCTTGAAATTGTTTTGATCCTTTTCCTTATTTGTTTTTATTACTTTATTGTAGGTTCAATGATGACATGGGTTCTAGGAAGACAATACTTCCACAATACGACGATCCGGTTGAGGATGAGGTTAATATTACAAACTGATCGTTTGATGAATAAATTATCTTTGGATGTTTCCTGATACACATTTTTGTTGTCAGGGAGTAACTTTGGATGAAGGTGGGCGCTTTACTGGCGAAGCAGAGAAAAAACTCGAAGAAGTATGTTTTCTTTCCTTTTCTTCTGTGTGTGTGCTGACAAAAATGATGCTATTGTTCACATAACAAATTTATCTTGATTGCTAAATATGATTGCTTTTAGATTGGCTAGAAAAATGATACTACCTTTTTTTTGGGTATTTTTCTCCTTTCATTACTTAACTAATACTTGACACTAAGGTAGTGTCCGAGTTAAATGGCTTGAAGCAATAATTTTCAATTATGAGAAGATAAAAGTGTGCATGTGTGTGCGTGCGTGTGTGCGCGCTTAGAAAATTTCACAATTGAAGTACTCGTCAAGTCATTTCTTATATTTCTTAATGTGTAATCCATAAAGCTACTTGATTTTTTATATGATCTACTTTTGTCACAGCTACGCAAAAGGATAGAAGGTGGCTCTATAAGCAGAGCATTTGAAGATCTTAATTCAGCAGCAAAGAGTACATCCGATTATTATACTCCAGACGAAATACTTCAATTTAAGAAGCCTAAGAAAAAGAAATCTTTGAGGAAGAAGGACAAACTTGATTTGGATGCACTTGAAGCAGAAGCTAAATCCGCTGGACTTGGTGTTGGCGATCTTGGTTCCAGGAAGGATTCTAAGAGACTATCCACCAAGGAAGAAGCGGCCAGAATTGAGTCTGAAATGAGAAGTAATGCTTACCAGTCAGCCTTAGCTAAAGCAGAGGAGGCATCCAAAGTTTTGCGTCAGGAGCAAACTCTAACTGGTAAGGATGTGGATGATGATGATATGGTTTTTGGGGAAGACTATGACGATCTTGAGAAGTCCCTTGCGCAAGCTAGAAAACTCACACTAAAGAGGAAAGAGGAAGATGCACCTTCTGGTCCTCAGGCAGTTGCACTTTTAGCTTCAGCAAAGGGGCAAGAAGACACTCAAAGCTTTACAGTAGGAGAGCCACAAGAAAATAAAGTTGTTATCACTGAAATGGAGGAGTTTGTTCTGGGTTTACAGCTAAATGAAGGTATGGTGACTATGGTCGTCAGCTATTCTCCTTGTTTTAATGATTCCTGTGGCTATCTTCATGAGTCAACTGAAATCAATGTAATATAGGAGCTTAGTTTTTTTTAAATTCATTTTCGCTTTTCATTTTTAATTTTTTTTCATTGAACGAAACTAACAGACTATTATATATCTCCTTATAATTAAGGAGTCAAAAAGTAGCTCATAGTCATTTCTTAGAAATTAGAGTCCAAGAAAAACTTGTGGCTGTTATGTTACAACTAGCCTTAGTAAAGACTGCAAATTGGTTAAGTGCAATTAGTGTTTATGACTGTTATTCATCACACTTCAATATCTAAATTACTGTCTGTTTGTAATTATTCTCGATGATCTTGTCACCACGGTAGATAAGGAGTTAAGATGAAGCCTCAGGCCCATCAACATTTTAGTCTATCAACATTTCCCCACACCTGAATTGCCCCGTGTGTCTTCCTCAGACACTTGCTGTGTATTTTTCTTTTATTAATATTTTTTTTTCTGATTCCATATAGTTGCTTTATAGCTGCATGAAATGAAAGTTATTAACATGTTATGCAGGTTGAAGGACATACTTCTATATTTTAACTGAGAAATTTGGTAGTTGGTTTCTTTCATTGTTACTCTTTAACTTATCTCTCCTTTCTCTGGTAACCTTTTTCTTCTTTCTGTTTCTCTGTGCCTTTTAGATACTCAAAAGCCTGAATTGGAAGATGTTTTTAATGATGGCGATGACATTGCAAAACCTGTTGAACATAAAATGGAAATTGATGTTGGAGGTTGGACGGAGATCCAAGAAACAAATGACAATGAACAGCCTGCTACTGAGGACAAAGAGGATGTTGCTCCAGATGAAATCATCCATGAGGTTGCTGTTGGGAAAGGTTTATCAGGTGCGCTTAAGTTGCTCAAAGATCGCGGGACGCTCAAGGAGAGTATAGATTGGGGAGGTAGAAACATGGACAAGAAGAAAAGCAAACTTGTCGGCATTAATGATAACGATGGTCCAAAAGAAATTCGTATCGAGAGGACTGATGAATTTGGTCGAATTGTAAGTTACTTTTTCATCTTTAGTTTCTAATTTTTTGATTCCATGTTTATGGTGCTCACAAAATATAAAAGATATCCACTTTGTTATATTACCTCCCTTGAAATAGGAGATAGTTACAAACATCATTGATGTACTCTGACTATCCAGATGATTTTTTTTCAACAAAGACTATAAGTTGATACTAGTTGCAAATCACCCCTCTCCTTATGAATCCATGTATATTGGTTACCTATATGTTTAGTTTGCATCATTTTTAGGAGCTTGCCTCCGTCTGCATGCCTCATCATTGTTTTTCAAGATAACTGGTTATTTCATCATGAGACTGTTTCTTGTGTACTTATTGATATGTAAGATGAGAACCTATAACGAAGTTTTTCAAGATAACTGGTTATTTCATCATGCCTCCTTCTGCATGCCTCGTCATTGTTTTTCAAGATAACTGGTTATTTCATCATGAGACTGTTTCTTGTGTACTTATTGATATGTAAGATGAGAACCTATAATGAAGTTTTTCTAGATCATTTGAATTATTAGCTTTTAGAAATTAAAGCAATATGTTACCTCACCCTTTTTTTTTCCGTTTCAACTTTGTCATAATATTTTAACTGTAGGAACAGGAGAACATGATAGTCTCAGTTTGATAAAGTTAGCAGCAGTTGTACGACTCACATTCACCTAGGCTTGTCAATTTTTTATGTGGACCGCGGTCTTAATATTTCATATACTTCTCTTTCATTGTTGTCGCGAAGTTAAGTGCTGACCGTGTTGTCAAAGCAAGGCAAAAAATAGTAAGAGAACAATGCATATTCTTGCCATATGAGAGGATTCCCTCATGTGACAATACAGTGATGTGGCTCAATCTCCACCATGTGAATAGAGGAGAGAGAAACCCACTTGGTTTGGATTTGGCCGCATCATTGTATATGAGGGAATTCTCTCATATGACATATGATACCCATTAACTTAGAGATAGTAAGAAATTGCAAATCATGTTGTGGACTTGCTTCCTGGCAACATGAGGAGAAAATAAAAACTTGAGAAGGGATCAGTACTACTATTATACATAAAATCTTATCTGAAATAGTATTTATTTAGCCAATATAGTGATCACTTTTTGTCGTAAAGTTTCCCAATCCAAACCAATGAAAAGCTTATTTTATTACTTGCTTTTGTCCAGATGACCCCAAAGGAAGCATTCCGGATGATCTCCCATAAATTTCATGGTAAGGGTCCAGGCAAAATGAAACAAGAAAAGCGTATGAAGCAATATCAAGAAGATTTGAAGACGAAGCAGATGAAAGCTTCTGACACTCCATTGCTGGCGATGGAACGAATGAGGGAAGCTCAAGCGCAGCTGAAGTCTCCCTATATCGTACTCAGTGGGCATGTTAAGCCAGGGTATGTTTCATCTTGTTTACTTATTGCCCTTTTTCTTTCTTAACTTTATATGAATACTGAACCAAGTCTATCTTTTTCAAAAGTTTGAAACTGTGAAAAAAGTACACACGTTTCAAGTGGATTTAAATTGAAAAGTACAGCTCCGTAAAATAGTCCAGGTTTTCTCCCATGGAAAGGACCCTCAACCTATGGCTGATTTGGTGTAGTGAAAGGGGCTTTAGTTTGTCAATCGTTAGTTGCTATTGTTGCTTTTTCCACATAGATACAAGCACATAGTCAAATATGTACATGAACATAAACATGCCACGTCCTTTGTTGATACATTACCACGTCCTTGGTTGATACATTACCATGTTGGACACTTTGTTTCTTTGCCATAAACGACGCAACTGTTAATGGTTCTAAACCATTTGTTATAACTTCCAGGGTTAAATTTCATATACTCAATGTGGCAACTTGCTTGGAAAGTAGAACTGTAAATTAAAATGCTTTGGGAGAATTCCCCTACAGTTGAAACTGGTCTTACAGACTGATCTGCAACCAAATTGTTTCATAGTAACTGAGAAGTACGTAGTATCTATGTAGCACGGACACGGATCCGACACGGCCATCCGACACGCCGACACGAGGCAAATCCTAAAAAATACATAGGATACATGTGTTTGACACGTGTGTCCGACACGGACACGACACGACACGGCTTCATGTTATGCGTGTCCGTGCTTCATAGCGTAGTATAAGTAATTGGGAACACAGTTCATCAAAAGTAGCAGCTGATACTTAAAGCTTACCATTCCACATGTTCAAGTCGAAAGGAGCAGTAATTTTTAAGTTTTCCTTAAAATCAGGGATCCTGTTTTTCCTGGCCAGAAGGGAATGAGAAACTTTTGGCCACTGCTATTGATATTATGTTCGCCCATAGAAGAAATTTTCATGAAAATGCTGTTTCTGTAATCTGTTGAAAATAGTTTGATCAGTGTGTTGTGCCTTGAAATTTTCTTTCATGCATTCTAATTTGCATTAGTAGTAACAGTTGTCACTAATGCTTTTTTCTTCTGGATTGTTAGGCAAACTAGCGATCCGAGAAGTGGTTATGCTACATTGGAGAAAGATCATCCCGGGAGTTTGACACCTATGCTTGGTGAGAAGAAGGTTGGTAACTTGAAATTGCATTACAAACCTAGATTTGATCTTTCTTTTTAAATTAAAATCTGTAGTTATCATTATTAGTATTTTTCATCCCGGAAGACCTCTTTTTCATATTATGGTTATCCACACTGTTATAATCATCCAATACTGTCTCATGTGAGCCTGATCCCGATCCCATTCTCATAGTTGTCCGTATAGTAGCTTGAGCCTAATCCGCTAGGTACATGCTCAGCATTGTAGCTCACATCCTGCTAGATTTTCAGAAAACCTCTTGTCAACAACGTCCAATACTCGGCCTCATGTAGATCCATATTTGAATCCTGAACTTCTGACTAAAGAAAAGTCTATTCTTACCTTCCATTTACCTTGTTGGACTTTGCTTTAGGATCCTGGGCCGGGGGGGTCCTTGTGAACTTGAATTTACGGAGTCTCCACATTAAAGTTTTATGGGATACCTGTTTTGTATGAATATTTATTGTCACTTAGATAGCACTGAACACGTCTTCCTGTTCATAATTTTGCATCCTCTAACCATTTTTATCAAATCTATATGAATAAATGTGTAACATATTGTGGATAGCATTGAACTATCATAGTGTTATAAAATTTTGCATCAGCTCATGTTTTTTGTTCTGTTGACCAGGTTGAGCATTTCTTGGGCATCAATCGCAAGTCTTAATTCTCCATGCAACCTGAATATATGTTCAATCAGGTGAAGGGAAAGCACTTCAATTTGGTTACAACGAGACATCCTCAGTGGGAAACAAGATTAGCAGCATCTCTTTTTGCTCACACCTCAAAAGGACGACTCATCAAGTTTTATTGAAGATGATTTTCCGGAGGAGCTAAAACGGAAGCATATGCTCATGTCTTTGTATTGCATTCAGACTTCTGGCGAATTAGAGTCAGCACTGCTAACCTTGTAATTGTGATATTGAGATCGCACAAGTTCTCATCCACAACGTGTATATCTTGTCTATTAACCTGCAGTTTTTAGTGTATACTTTCCTACTGAAATCGTGCCTTTAAAATCTGCGGTTATTCTATTGGTATAACCCCTAGTAATAGGTGAGCTTCTTTTCGCAACACATTAGATTTACGTTGGCCTTCTTGATGTTTTGAAATTTGTATTGATTGTTGAGGTTTCTTGATTTGTGGTCCTCTATGGCTGTAATGAAGTATGCTGGCGAATTAGACATGTCTGTTCCTGTAGCTGCTATTTCTTGCGGTTGGTTGCTTTATTGTTATTCTAGCTTGTTTATCTCCTAGTTGGATCGAGAGTTTGGATTCAGCGCGGTTTTATCCATAATTGTGCCAAAAGCTCTACGGTACTCTTGTACTACAACAAACAATAGAGCGAGTTTTATGATGACGCTCCAGTCTATTTATTTTTTTGACATTTCTCATGGAGGTGCCCACACATTTGTCAGCGGCAGTATGAAAGTAGTATAGTACATGCAGTATGGTTAGGATTTTCCTTTATTAACCTTCTTAATTTAGAGGAATAAAACAACATCTACAAATCCTTGTTGGTAGATCGTTGGGTCGATTCCTCGTGAAATTGTTGGCATGGGTTCTAAGTGAAGGGTCCGCCCTCCCTTTCTTGAATCGATTGCTCAGCTCGTAAATTCGAACTCCAGCTCGAAGCTCTCTCCGATGGGTTGAGATAACCCCTTAACACCGAACCTCCCTGCTCCCTCGCTCTTCACGCTAACTCCTTTGCTTTTGCTTACTTCGAATCCGTTCACGTACAAAGCATTCGCCTTCAACGTGGCAGGCTTCGTCGTCTCTAAACCTAGAAATGTCAACTTGTCGACCTCAAACTTGTGGTCTGCAGCGTAAGTGCCGTTCACAACTTGCGCCTTCACAACCCCCTTCCCCGCTTCCACCGAGCCAGTGAACCTCACCAGGCTCCACTGGCTCAAGTCCTCCTCTCCACCCATCTCCACCACCTCCCCATCATCCAAAAACACCTCCCCGTCAGCTCTGCCGTCTTCATCGAATGCCACTAGAAGCTCAAAGCCCGTCAGCCTCGAAGCTTTCGTCGTCATTGCTTCTTGTTGCATCGCCAGTATGTTCCCCCCTCGTACGTGAACATTTATGCTCTCGCTCCCTGCATCAAGCCTCACGTACTCTCCGGTGTTAGCTATCACCAGGTCTGAGTAGTTGAAGAGGTTGAACCACTTCCCTACGGGGAAGTAGGCGCTTACTGACACCGCTCCCTGTTGTAGCACTGGAGATATCATCACTCCGTTCCCGATCAGAAACTGGGTACTGATTTCAAGAGCTTCGGAATCATCAGGGAACGAGAAGAAGAGCGGCCTAGCAATAGGCGTGCCCTTGACGCGGGCTTCATACATGAGCGTGTAGTAGTAGGGGAGAAGGCGGTATCGAAGCCCGAGTGCTTTTCTTGCAGATCGGGCTACTGACTCCCAAATGTAGAGCTCCTGTCTAATAGAGTTAATTTCTGAGTGATCCCTCGAGAAAGGATAGAATGCACCTAGCTGAATCCACCTCCTGCATAGTTCCTCGTTGGTGTCGCCACTGAAACCACAAATGTCGGCTCCAACCATCGGAATACCAAACAATCCAGAGTTTAGGATCGACGGTATCGAGTACCCGAGGTTTTCCCAGTTAGCAGCATTGTCCCCAGTCCAGTGTGCTGCATACTTTCCTGAACCCACAAATGTTGATCGGCTAAGTACAAATGGTCTCTTACCTGTAATATTGGTCAACGCATCGTGAGCAGCTTTTGATTCCAGGAGGCCAAACAAGTTATGAGCATCGTATTCAGTTATGTTTCCGTAGTGAACAGCGGAAGGGGGTACAGTTTTCTCGAGAACTGCCCGTTTAATCTTATAAGGAGGGTCATCTAGTTGGTTGAGCGGCTGTGAGGTTATGAAGTTGGAAATTTCGTTCATATCGATCCATAACCCATCTACGGGAAGAATTTTTTGAAAGATATTGATTTCTTCTTTCCAGTAATCTGAGGCATTTGGGTGGAAAAAGTCTGGGAAGTAGACATCCCCAGGCCACACCTTGCCGAGATAGTTGCTGCCATTTCTTCGCAGAAAGATGCCATCGCCAATGCCTCTCAAGTAGGTACCGTATGAGTTGTTGATACTAATACCTGTA